TTTAATTTTAAAAAACATAGAAAAAAATTTTCATTTCAGCATAACTTGACTTATTTGGAACCATTTTTTATATTTTCGCTATAAGTTGAATTGCGTTTGTATTGAAAAGAAGCATGCTCGGCATTAAAATTGGAAATCGTTAACTTTAAACTAATTTTTTACTAGAAAGCCTGTTTTTTACTCATTATTTCAATAATTTCTAATCCTTTCTGGTTAAAAGTGATGTTTAAAAGACTAAAAGCCGAACCATGTGATGTTTTTTCTCCATGTTTCCGTGAAAAAGTTTTTCTTGAAAATTTGTCTTTCGATTGTTGCTTGATCTAGAAGTCCATTTTATTTTTTGGAGGTTCAAAATTATTAGAATCGTAACAGTATCTACATGAAAATTTCTCACCTAGAATCAAAAGGACTAAAAGATTGTACTAAAGTAGATCTCATTGCATGTAAATGACTCTTATAATAATTATCAGGTGTTTAAAAATGAAACAATGATTGTTGACACATTTTCAATATACCGTTATTTTATTAAACTTATCCTGCGTTTAACAAATGCTACTGAAAATTTAAGCCAATGAAATGAAAAATAATCTCTTATAATGGCTATTATTGGCAGATGTCTCCTCTTCTTAGAAAAGTTTAAAAGTAAACTTTCTGTTTTCGAAACTTTTTTTTAAAAATTTAGTATATCCGAAACTTTTCTTAAAAATAAAAGCATACGTTTTTGCATAGGCGCGAAATAAATTTAGTTTAAACGTGAAAAACACTTGTTCGATAAGAAATAATGAAATTTTTATATTGTTTTGCATAAATGCTATAATACATGTGACTGGGCAATAAATCCAAATTTTACCTGATACCAGGAACCAGCCGGGTAACGAAATATTTGCCGGTACCCAGAACCGGGGGAAAAATTTTCAATTTTAAACGGGTTCCCGGCAAAATTTTTGAACCCGATATATCTCTAATCCAGTTACATTGACGAAATTAGTAAAAATCAAAAAATTGAGAACTATCATATTTTTGTTACAAGTGAAAAGCATTATTTGTACACGACAGATGATAATTGTTGAGATCAACTTTAAAATAAAAATTATTTTTCCTGTTATCAAAAAAGTATTAACAAACAGTAACTGATTATACTTTTGCTTGAAATTCATTGATACTTTGTATTAGAAAATATTTAATTTCAAGTATCTAATCAGCGACTTTCTATGTAGCAACCGCTAGAAAAATGCCAGCGAAAAAAACAGATTATCCACAGAAACAGGACACACACTATGAACAAGTTTTATTTGCAAAAATTCTACATATATGGGAAAAAATTAAAAATCCTAGTTGCGAAACAAATATTTAATTAAGTGTAATTACATTGATCCGATTACATTGATCCGATTAATAAAAAACTTTGAGCTATCATATTTTTGTTATACAAAAGCAGTTATATAAAAGCAAGTGGACAGGTGTTGGCTCTAACTCAGCTTGTATGCAACAAGTCACAGTCAAAGAACTTATAATTTCATGAGTATTTTTCTTAATATACCTATGATTTTCCTGAACCATAATCTTATTACAAAAAAAACTTACTATTTTCAGAGAAATAAACGTCTTTATCTTAGCACCAGCAAGTCAACATCTTTAAATAAATATTATGCTGATAAACTGATAAAATTGTAATTTTATACTTACTTATAGTGTGTCAAAAAAACGGACCTTTCTGAGTAACCTTTGATCTTAACGATCGAATTTTCACGTTCTGGGACTCAAAATTAATGGTTCGACCAACTTAAGATACGATGACTCAATTAATATTTAAAACATATTTTTAAATATTATTTCCTCTGTTAAAGATTATAACCATATTAATTTTGTTTATTAAAGAAATAACTTTTTTTTTAAGAAATATTTCCATTAAAGTAAGTTAACTTAACGATATGACACTTTTTAGAAGAATTAAATGTTCCTATAATCCAAATAATGACTAAAAAATGTTTTGAAGAAGCTTAAAAATGTTTTGAAATTGCAATTATTGTAATTGTTTGTATTTATTAGGTTTTCAAAGTGTTTTTAAAAAAACTAAGGTTTTTTTCTAGATAATTTGTACTGGGAAAGTTTCAGCGTGCTCTCATTTGTTACAACAAAAATTAAGTTAGAAAAAAAGCGATTTTTTTTAAATGAAGAAAAGTTAATAGTTCTCTAAATACTTTTATGGATAAAATAATCATCCATAAAAATCTTCAGAAGAAGAATTTGCGTAAGAGTACTTTTTCAAACAAAACTAGGACAAACAATACCTTTGTAAAAGTTTAAAACAATAAATTACAGAAATTACAGTTTTGTAAAACGTTTAGCTGTGGTTTTCATTTTACAAAGTGTGAGTATAGCCTCGATTAGATAATATTACTAAAATGATAAATTATTTCAGGTGAATTTAAAAGCGCAATAGTTATCTAGAGAGCATATAAAGATACGATAGCGAAGCAAATTGTCTACAAAAAGATCTTTTTTCTCTTAGAATCTGTATTTATTTGCTCTTATTTATAAAATATTTAACTTTCAATTAAAAATTATTTACCTTATAATTTTTAATCGAGTTAATTATTTGCCTTATAATTTTTAATCGAGTTAATTATTTACCTTATAATTTTCAATTTAATTACCACTATATAAAAACCACTATTTAAAAACTTTTTAAAAGAATTGACAGGTCAAACATTGCGAATGGGGTCATAAAATATTTCCGAAAATTTCAGCGAAAATGAAATTTAAAAGTTTTGAATATTTCAGCGAAAAATTATTTTAAATGCGAGACTTACGGTCCTGATGTCACTTTTGTTGTGCAAGTTTAAGTGTTTTGTAATTTGTTCCATAAAATTATATCATAAAAATGCTAATTTTTTTTAAAAATTTAGCAATAAATTAATGGTTTTAATTGAAATTTTCATTAGCGAAATTATAATATTTTAACTCCTAATTTTAACTAGTATTCTATGAAATATTATGATTATGTTTTGCGAAGCTACTTTTGAGTAAATATTTGAACCAATTTTTAACATTCACTATCAAACAATACAATGAATATATGCATGTGCAACAAATTGTTCACATTTGTTTAAAAAGTCTTATACATTCTTTGCAAAGCATTTTAAAAGATCTCTGAAGAACTAAAAATTAAAAAAAGGCTTCCATCGAATACTTAATGTAAACTCCAATAATTATAAATACCTCCGGAATATCATTGACGGAGGATGTTTATCCATTTTGTTACTATTCTGGTATGTCTCCATATTCAGTTTACTTTAATCATTATAGAAAGACAGAAAATTCGTGATATCATTAACTATTTAAGGCGCTGATAAAATGTATTGCCCAAGCTCAATATCTTTATGAATTTGTAAAGATTAAATTCGTCAATTAAATATCAAATGAAGAATGAATTTTGATCAGGACACATTAAAAAGATCACGAACAATCCCTTCTTTATTAAAGAAATGACCCCTAGAAACTGAAGCTGTTGGATACTTCATTCGCTTCAAAATAGGAACTCAAAAACAGGCGCACGTTTTCAAGACCTGCCAGACGTGAATCTGAAGAAAAAAAAAGTGATTTGAAATATAAAACGAAAACTTGCCAACTGAAAATGGAAGGAAAAAAAAAGGTGAAGACAAAAATTGGAAAAAAAACCCACAGAAGCCGGGAAAGAAAAACGACGGAAAGAAGAACAAGAAAAACCTAAGTGGCAGAGAGATGAGCAAATCATGGTAAAATGTATTTTCCGTGAGCTATGGAGACTTGGTAAGGAACTAATGTTGTTAGCAAAGCAATTCATATGTATAAAACAAGATTCCAGTTTGTTTAATTAATGATTGAGTTTTTCATTTAGCTAATTAGTAAATAGAATTAAAGTAAATACTTACCACACATTTTTTTAAATTTTATTAATTTTTTACCCATTTGAATCGCATCGACACTGAAAATTGAGGTAAAAAGCTTAATTTTACAGTTTAATTTTGCAGTTAATTTTACAGTAAAATGAATTTTACGGATGCTGCACACTGGGTGCTAGTGCTTGTGCTTTTTTTTACCGTAATTCGATCTGGAATTTTTCATAGTGTATACATTTTAAGGAATTTGATAATTACGCGACATTTGTCATAAATGCAGCAACGCTAAAGTTTTTCAGCCTTAATGAGTTTTGTCAATCAAGTTATGAATCATGCTTATTGAAAAAACATGCATTATTGATTGATTTGTTTATTTTCATTTAGCTAATTAGTAAATAGAATAAAGTAAATACTTATATAAAATTATTTTAAATTTTCTTAATTTTTTAGCTATTTGTATCTCCTCTACACTGTAAATTGAGGTAAAAAGTATTGGCACATAGGGTGCCAGTATCTTTTACCGTAAAATTTATTTTTACCGTAAAATTTTAGGGAACAAAAAATCTGATATAGCGTAATTTTTACAGAATTAGAGTATTAAAATTACTGAAAAAATTACGGGATAAAGTCCTACGCAATATATTTTTATGGTAAAAATTAATTTTACAGCAAAATGAATTTTACACACGCTGCACTCAGGGTGCGAGTGCTTTTTACCGTAATTTGATCAGGAATTTTTTACAGTGTATAAATTTTAAGGATTTTGATAATTTTTCATATAAAACAAATGTTTCAGAGAATTTTAAAAAAATTTTCAACAGATAACGCTACGTTTGTCATAAATGCACAGTACTCTGCTAAAGTTTTTTAGCCTTAATGAGTTTTGCCAGTCAAGCTATTAATCATGCTTATTTATAAAAAATGCATTTTTTAGGAACATTTGATGAACATTCTACTAGAGTATTAATGGATTAAAGCATAACATAATTAGTGTATTTCAAAGCCAAAATCATTGATCATAAAAATACAACCTTTTTGGTTGATGTGCTTGTATACCAGTATTAACAGACAAATTAAAAGAATCGTTCTATTGAAATAAATCATTGGTTACATTTTTAGGATCATATGCTGCAGTTGTACTTGATGGCGGACAAACTTCAACTTTACATTTTACTCGAGAAGCAGACTTTTCTAAGCATACATGTTTTCAAATAGAATACAGAAAAGGACCTCACGTAGCTGGACAAAGATCTAGTAATCAATTAAGTGCAGTTTTTAGAAGTGCAATAGCACAAGGATATTATTATTTGAACATTACATCAGATGCTAAGGACTGGACATCAATAGAAATGCCAATATCGTGGTGGGGTGGACCAAGTTTAGTAAGTTCATTTGAAAATAATATATTTCTTCATATTATTGCAAAAGTTATTATTTTCCCGTTATTTTGCATTAAAATTTTATACTTAAACTAAATTTTATTGAAATGCTTATGATTGAAAATCCATGATTCCTTTCACATATTCTATTATAGACAGAATTCATGAACCAATATTTATAGATATTTGCTATTGAAAAATTTACAAGGGCAAAATTTGTGAAGAGAAAAATTGCTTGCTACAAATGCGATATGCAAGGTGCCTCATAATCAGCTCCTTGAATATATATTTATAGAATCCTTGTTTAAATAAAAATGCCTAAATATTAGGGATCGCAAGAAATACTTAAACGGAGAAGAAATAATATTGAAATCTGACGAATACAAATGAGGAAAGTGAGATGAAAACAAGTTTGGTTGCCTGATGCAACTTGGAGATGTTAGCATTTCAACTCCTCTCTGCTTCGTCTGGTGATCAAAGAGGTTTCGATATCTTTAGCTCTTCTTACTTCATTAGTGGTTCGACATATTTCAATAGAGTACTTGTTTATCGTCGTTTAAATAGTGTGGCTTTAATGAGTATGAGTATCGTCCCAATGTGTAATTAATTTCTGCAGAGGATTCTTAATTCTTATTTCGCTTAATTTCTGCAGAGGATTCTTATTTCGCTTAATTTCTGCAGAGGATTCTTAGTTCTTCTTTCGCTTAATTTTTGCAGAGGATTCTTAATTCTTATTTCGCTTAATTTCTGCCGAGGATTCTTAATTCTTATTTCGCTTAATTTCTGCAGAGGATTCTTAATTCTTATTTCGCTTAATTTTTGCAGAAGATTCTAAAAATGTACCTCAAAGATGGTGAATGCGGAACACCTTGATTAGTGATAGTTCAGGGAATAGAACGTTCGCCTTCCAATGAAAAGAACTGGATTCGTATCCCTGTGATAGCTAGTCGATACGAATTCCACCCCCGGCTTGCACCGACCACAGTGCTGACGTAAAAAATTCTCAGTGGTAGATGGATCATGGGTTAGAGTCCATCCCTTTGACATCAGGCTAACCGTGGGAGGTTCTCGTGGTCTTCCTTACCATGTAACTCAAACGCGGGTTAGCTTCACCAAAAAGTTCTCCACTACGTCAAATTTTTCCCAATACTTGATCCAGTAGTTTCCTTGTCTTCTGGATTGAGTTCAAAATTACAAGGTTACGGAGTTGAACATGAGTAGTCATAAACCCAAACAATTGAGTCGGCTGTTCAACGACGGTTATAAAATACGGAACACCTTGTAAGTGGGCTGCTTAGAGAAAGTTATTAAAAAAATGAAATCCTTAACTAAAATAGCAAAAATGTTTTAAAGACAAAAGTGCTTTTTTTATTTTTTAGTTTTGAAAACAGCTTTGACTGTATGATGTTATTAAATATTCTGCTTTCAAAAACGCTATCCGTCTCCAAAAAAAAAAATATTTTTTATATGCTTAAATAAATGAAATTGCTGAAAAAGAGCAAGTCGCATGTCATACAGTTAAAAAGTCCAAATTAATTTTTTTTAATATGCTTTTATGCAAGAGAATTTATGAAAAAAATGAATTTACTTTTTAGATGTCCGTATCATTTGCTGTCCCGTATGGATATCCGCCACAATTTTTAGATGTCCGGCAAATAACAGTCAGTGATGGACAATGCAGTAAAAAGGCTTATTATGGATAGGAAAGGAAAAGTAAGCTATTTTAATATTATTAAGAAAAATCATTTTCATTTATAAACGATTTTCTGCGATTATTTGTAATATATTTTATGCGATCTTTTGTAATTATTTCCGTATCGTCTTTGCGTAAATTGTTATAAAGATAATACACAAAAAATAAAGTAATAATCAACACTCTATGACAACTGTCGTCATTATAACTAACTGTTTTAATGACTGTTATTCGTGACTTTTGGATAATATGAAGAAAGCCTTTTTGTAAAGTCTTTCCAACGTTCATGAAATATACCAAGTTTAATAATTTTCATACAGGTAAGAAAAATCTTGGCAATTTCTTTTGATAAAAAAGTTGTGTTTAACAATAAATAAGCTGTTTGCTAGTTTTAAAGTCAAAACAGTTTTTTTCTGCAAGACAATATAGCTTAAAATTTTGCATCGAGGCGCTCAAACTGCTAGTTTTTCTTGACAAAAGAGCTTTAAAAAAAATCAAAACTAATTGATTCAAAATTCATTGAAATAGTTTACCCTTTATTTACCTTTTAAATTGAGATGATTTACTAGAGAAAATATAAAAAAGGAATATAAAGTGGGCTAATTTATAAAAAATGTACAAGAAGCCAGCTACTAGAATCTGACTCTGAAAAAGAAAATTATATTGAATGGTATAGAATCATCTGTATAATCAACTGCCATTTATTCTTAAAAATGGAATGTTTTCAGCTTTTTTAAGTAAATGATTACACGAGTATTAAAGATTTGTTGAAAAATATAACGTATTGTTTTACATACGTTATTTATACATTACAACCTCGTTTGAAGGTGAGAACCTGAAAAATGATGTTACAAACTTGTGTAGTTTAACTCTTACTATTTAACTGAGAACGAGAGCTATTGAAATCTGTTGAGTTGGAAAAAACAGCAAAAATCTAATTTTATAGCCTATCTTCTCCTCGTTTCATCTAGCAATCTAAAAATGATATACCACTACTTTGCATAAATTTTTTTTGACAATAACAATATATTTAGGTTGGTCATTACAGATCACCCTTTGACTAGGCATGAAAAGAGTTTAAAAAAACCCATGTATCGGATTCAAACCATTAAATTTGTGGTTTTCCATTGCTCCTACATTTAGAGAAAAAGTATGGTCAAAACTGCCAGAATAAAGTTACCATTTTTCTGGCACTATGGGAACACTAAAAAGCTCATTAGTTTTTACCGAAGCGATTCTAATTAAATTAACAATTAAATATGGTTTTATAGTATGTAGGGCACTTTGGTAATTTTATCATGATACCTCAGTGCATGGCATAAAAACTATTTATTCAGTTATGCACTTTTTACTAAATTTATGATGATAAGAACTATAATTTTGAAAACTAGAATTCCCGACCCTATAAACGAAAAAATCTCCAAATAAGCGGTTTAAGTATTGTATATTTTGGTTTAATTAATGAGAGATAGCATTACCATACAGTGAGATAATTTTTTCCTTCGTGTAAAATTAGTATGGGTTGTCCTACTGATTAGACCTAGAAATAAAAGCTCACATTTATACCCCACACAAAAATTCAAAACTTTTTTATGGGGAACTAGGCAGTTTATGATAACAACTCGTCTTGGTTATCGCATTGTTCAATATTTCTGTAAAAATCATTATTGTTGATGAATAACATGCGATAAGTAGCAAATATTTAATACCAAGAATAGATACGTGAATTAACCTTCGATCTATTAAATATTCAAATATGTGATTATTCACTTTAAAAATAACGGAATTTAATATCACATCAGTAAACATTAGAGCATATTTTGGAGCTTTGTTAGGCCATTTAAGCTTCTTTGCTCATATGAATGAATCATATGATATTTTTAAAACTGTTGTGGCTTCGTAACAGCGACCTTTCACCCAAGCGTTTTCTGTGAGTATTGTAACTAGAAGAAAAGCTACAATTTCAAACAATTTAATCCCAAAATTATGCAAAAATTAAGAATTGTTTTTGTGGTCGCTTCTTTGCAGATAACATTTACATCAGCACTTTTTATGCTAAAAATGGTGTGAAGAAAGTCACAATTCATTCTATTATGTGAGAAGTGCAAAAATTGTTAATTAGAAATAACTCAACCTACTAAGGTTTCAGCAAAGTATTTTTCAAAATACCGATACAAAAGTTTAATGTTGGACCAAAAATGTAAAATGACAGTAAGGAAACATTTCTATTTGAAATTCTATTGCTTCTTTAGATTTCAATTTTAATTTTTTCTCATTCGAATTATAATTTTTATTCCATTTTCAAATTTAAATTTCTTTCACGTCACGTTTCAGGGTTTTTTTCATACCACGTGTGCAACAACAGTCATTTCAATATTGAAAAATTGCTTAATTATTTATTCGTGAATATTAATTATTCGGTACAAAAGTTAATGCAACTTAACGGTAATTGTTCGTTTAACGAATTTTCGTTATTGGAAGGAAATCACAAAAATTAATTTTAGGTACTGGTCTCCAAATACGAAAATCTAATATCATCCAAAATGATGAAATATCATAATCGAAAGCTTTTTAGAAAAATTTTAACAAAATATTACCAAGGATATTTTCAATAATTGTGATTTTTGGAGTATCAAAATACGTCATTTCTAAATATATTATTTTTTTTAAACTTCAAAATAAATCTACTAGACCGAAAAAAAACCTCATTTAAGAAAAAAATTTATTTTGTCATTTTCCAGTCTTCCCGAAATCATTCACAGTCGAACCTCGTTAACGCGAAATCGGGGGGGGGGGACTATCATAATTATTTTATGTTAACCGAGTTTCGTCTTATCCGATGCATCATGAAAACAATTTATTACGTACTATTAATACATGTTATGCACTACATTGATGTATGCAAACAATAATATTATGAACCAATCAAATTAAACTAAGCTTAACTTTATTTATTTGCCCATCTGCTACTTTTCCAACAGAGGAGGAAAATAGAAATGGCATTGCTCAAAATGAATGATTGGGATTTTATTCACATGCTTATTTATCTGTGTTGTGTTCAGTTTCCTTTCATCTTCAATAATATTCAGCTTGAAAATTTCATGTTAAACACGTAAAATACAGCAATAATTGATTGCTGACTCACGGGACCAAACATGTGTTTCATGTGAAGCGGTTTCGCGTTAGTGAGGTATAACTTAGTATTCTGTCTGAGCTCCTTTAAAAAACTTGTTTATAACCCAAAAGCCTAAAATTAGGAGAATATGGAAGCCAGAAATTTTCATTATCTTGGCTATCATTTCTCAGGCACAGGTCTGTTCTATAAAAGATATTAATAAAGGCTATTAAATGAACATTTTTTTTAAAAAAATACTATTCTCAAAATTTTTAGAGAATTACCTAACTATTGCTCTTCTGATAGGATTTTTACGTATTAAATTTAAAAATAAATGGTTTTATCTGTAATATCTTCTAAGCTAACTAGAAATTAAAATACAAACAAAAGGCATACTTTCTCTGAATAACTATAAATATTAGGAGTGAAGCTAAAGAGTCTCCTAAAACCTTCTTTTAGTATCACTGTTTCATTTGCCAATAATTGCAGACCATTTTTGGCTTAAGGGGCTACCCATAAATGAACGTTTTTTTTTCAATATTTTTGACCCTATACCATTCCTTATCACACTTCATGCCGTATTACATAAACATATTTTTCAATATTTTTGACCCCATCCCATTTTCCTTATCACACTTCATGCCGTATTACATAAACATATTTTTCAATATTTTTGACCCCATCCCATTCCTTATCACACTTCATGCCGTATTACATAAACATATTTTTCAATATTTCTGACCCTATCCCATTCCTTGGCATTTGAATGTCAGAAAGTAATGTGCATAATGTTTGTAAACTATGTTACAAACCTATAAGGTATTAATTAGGCTTGCAAAAAAAAATTTTTTTTTTTTAAATATTATTTTGAGGATTTTAAATTTAAAAAAAGAACTGTTTGTAACAAGTTTTCTGTGAATTATCCATGTAATAAACATGAAATGGTTAGATCTTACGACTTTACAGTGACACTTAAAGAAAATATTAATTCCCCTCTCCCAATCATTTTCGTTGGACATCGAATAAATTTTAATTTAATGATCAGATCTTCAGGTTCAATCTTAATGGTTCGAGGGTTGAATAAACTAATTAATTAGTGCAGATGATATTTTAAGTTACGAAATTAGACACAATAATGTACTTTTTCTGAACAAACACTCTTTTTTGACGGATTCGGATTTCTGACCCCAAAAATAAGGGAGTAGCCGCATTCAGGGAAATATGGTTCTCATAGTTTGATCAGCAATCCGATGTTATGGACACCTTAATGTTAATTTTACTTTTTGCGTATTTCACCATATCTCGAGAAATTTTTAAGCGAATTTTAAAAATTGCACACAAATATAAAAATTATTTGTCCGAAGATAAACCCATTCAAAAAATAGATTTTAATAAATTTTTATTATTTTATTTAATAATCGAAAAAATTTTGACTTATAAGGTAAAAATTTTTTACACTATTTTAAAGTACGTAATTTTGTATGGTAAAATACCAATATTTGAGAGAAATCAGTCGAATAGTTTTTGAGGAATCGAATTTTAAAAAAAGCCGCATATTAAAATTCAATTTCGCAGGAACTATTCGACCGATTTCGCTCAAATCTCGTATTTTGCATTGTAAAATAACAAACTTTAAAATGCTGTAAAATATTGCTTACGTTACAAATCGAAATTAGAATTATTCGTTATTAAATAAAATGATAAAAGATAATAAATATATACTAAAATGTAATTTTTGCATGGAATTATCTTCGGACAAACGAATTTTATAATTGAGTGCAAAAGTTTTTAAATTTGCTTAAAAATTTTTCGAGATATGGTGAAACATTATGGGATCCAAACCTTGGATAACTCTCCCGACCAAACTATGGGACCATATTTTCCAGATTACGACCACCCCTCTGGAGTTTGGACCCCTTAACGTTAATTTTACTTTTTGCGTATTTCGCAATATCTCGAGAACTTAAGCGAATTGAAAAATATAATTCCAAACAAAATATAATTCCATACAAAAAAAAAACTTTTAGTGAATATTTATTTTTCATTATTTTATTTAAGAATGGCCGAAAAAATTTTAAATTATAAGGTATAAAATTTTTTGCATCACTTTAAAGAATTAAATTTTATATAGCAAAACACAAAATTTGAGCGAAATTGATTGAATAGTTAGTTCCAGAGAAATTGAATTTCATAAAAGTCAGGTACTTAAAATTTAATTTCTCAGGGACTATTCGACCGATTTGGCTCATCGATTAGATAAAATTACATTCTTTAAAATGACGCAAAAAGTTGTATAACTTACAATTAAAAAAAAAATTTGACAATTTTTGAATAAAATAATAAAAATTAATAAATATTTACTAAAATTGTTTTTAATGAAACTATCTTTGAATAAACGAATTTAATAATTGTGTGTAAAATTTTTTCATTTTGCTTTAAAAGTTGTCTAGGTATAGCGAAATACACAAAAAGTAAAATAAACACTAAGGGGTCCAAACTTAGGAGCACTTTTTTGACCAAATTATTGCGACCATATATCCCAGATTGCGTGTATCCCCTATATATTTGGGGGTCAGAAATATGATTCCGTCAAAATAAAAGGGTATTCAGAGAAACGATGCTTTTGTATCTGATTTCGTGACTTAAAATATCGTCTGCACTAAATAATTAACATATTTCAAGTCACCCTATCGAACCATTAAGACTGAGTTGTTGAACGTGAAAATCCGACCATTAGATCAAAAGTTAGCTATTCAGAGGTTTTTTTTTCCTTTCTTTTCTTTTTGATGGATTGTGCACTGGTCATCATAAATTAAGAAAAATTTACAAAAGTAACGATAACTTTCTCAGAAATAAGCCAATCCTAATGAAATTCCTATTATGCGTCAAATAAGTGTTGCTAAGTAAAACGTAAGTTAGTGGAGCTGCAGTGGAATGGCTTTATCTGAAGAGATCATAAATTTGCATGTTTGATCTCAAGCCTGAGAATTTCGCTGTGTTTCTGAAGTTAGAAATTTGAGATAGCCAATTTGTAATAATGACCTACTGGCATCATTTGTACGAAGAACTGCGATGAAGATGCGTTGGAAGACTAGAGCAGGACAAAGACAGCTAGAAGTGATCAGATGGCAAAATATGAGTCCTTCAGTGGTTCATATACTTTGTCAAGAATTTCTAACCATACGTTTGATGTCCAGAAGGTTCAGCAAAGGTCGTCCAAATGCTACGACGAGTGCCGATGACCGATATTTATCGTTATGCGTTCGAAGGAAACGAGTCACATCTCCGCGTCTGCTCAGATTCTCTCTAAGTGCAGCTGCTGAAAGATTGCTGTCAACGTCTACTGTTCATAAAAGGTTAAAGAATGAGGTTTGTTTGCTGGCCGATGAGCCATTCGAGTACCACTCCATGCCACAGATTGGAACGTTTGAGGTGGGCTGACCAATGGAAGGCTGTTCTCTTCCCAAATGAGTTCAGGTTAAGCCTACAAAGCGATAGTAGCCGTTGTTTGACTTTAAGAGAGCCTGGAAACCAATTTCATTCATTAAGCATCCGTGAAAGAGATGCATGTCAAGTCGTCAGTGTCTGTGTGTGGGGTGATATCTGTTTGGGTAGATGCACAGATCTGCACGTCTTTCCCAGTAGAATCGTGAATACTTACGTGTATAGAGATTACATTCTTGATGTTTATATGCTGGAGCAATAGGGGATCATTTCATGCTACAGGACGATAACGGAACGCCAGAGAGGGTTCAGATCGCGGATAATTATTTTCTGCTGCGAGGAATTCAATGTTTGAAGTAGATAGCTGGTTCACCGAACTTGAATCTTATCGAGCATGTTTAAGAAGCTATAGGAAGGCATATAACTGCTCTCAATTCTTCTCCTCACACCCTTGCACCGCGTGCAACTGCTTTGCAAGAACAATGACTCGGACTTCCAACGGAACTAGTAGAGCTCACAATAGAAGAAATCACATATTGCTGTATGTGCTGCATTGCTGCTAGAAATAATCATAATCCATAGTGAAGGTACTTTTTCTATTGCAAACTGATGCATCTAATTTATTCATTTCATACATATGCTAATTTCTGAAACACCGTAATTGTCTGTTGAATGCTTTTTATGTTATTTTATACATCATTATGTACACTATAATGTTTTCCAGTTTCATTAAATTGTATGCGTAACTTTTAGAGTTATGGTCATTTTTGATTTTTCCTTAACTTCTGATAACCAGTTTACAACGCCTCCTTTCTATTGTTTGCATGAAAACTAGAAACTTTTTAAAAGCAAACACAATTTAAAGCTCTAAAGAATTGTGTCATGCGTGTATTTCTACGAATCATAGCTATTTTCATTTCTATTGTTTGCACGAAAACTATAAACGTCTTTAAGGCAAACACAGTTCAAAGCTCTAAAGAATTGTGTTATACGTGCATTTATATGAATCATAGTTACTTTCATTTCTATTGCTTGCATGAAAACTATAAACGTCTTAAAAGAAAACACAGTTCAAAGCTCTAAAGAATTGTGTCATACGTGCATTTGTACGAATCATAGCTACTTTCATTTCAATTATTTGCATGAAAACTATACACATCTTAAAAGCAAACACAGTTCAAAGCTCTAAAGAATTGTGTCATGAGTGCATTTATATGAATCATAGCTACGTTCATTTCTATTGTTTGCATGAAAACTATAAACGTCTTAAAACATAATTTAAAGCGGCAAAGAGTTGTGTCATGTGTGTATTTGTACGAAACATAGCAAACATAGAATCAAAATTTTTCTTTGAGCAGTCGTTTCATTTTTGCTGGCCTACAATCGTTTTTGCAGCTAATTATTATATTTTTCTTGTTGTGCAAATTAAGAATAAAGGTCATATAAAATAAAACATAATTAAATTTAATTACTCAACCAAAAGAAATAATTCTAAAGCTTTGTTATTAGGTAAAAAAACTACTATTTTTACCTGTATTTCGGAAAATTATGTTTTGTACACCATTTATTCACAAGCAAAAATCATGAGTATTATACCCCTTTGCAAGTTAAGAAAAGACCATTGCAGTATAGGATTTAAGTAATAATCCGCGATGGCATATAGTTCCGTTTTATTTCGTCATCAAATTTTACAGATATTCTTTCAAAAAAATATAAACGTTTTAAAAAATTAAACACATCAGGCAGAAATTTAATTTGCGCGATGTTTTATGATAAATATCATAGAATTATTAAAAAAAAAAGTTATAGGTTCGTTCTCTAACTGGAATTCTAGACATGGCGACATATTTCGATAAGCAAGAACACTCGTTCTTGAAAAGGAAACAACTTTATGACGTTTCAAGAGCATTAGATGTGATTGAACCACTAAAAATGCGCGTCTTATGCTGACATGCTCTTAACAAATCAAATGCGAGATAAAGAATTTTTACTTTTGTTTCGCTGTAGAAGAAAATCGTCTGCAAGAAACAATATTTTTAATCTTTTTTCAATTTCTTTAAATGCGAATACACACAGAAAGACATATATTTGCTACGATTTTTTGATAACATTTTTATTAACTCTTATTACTTGTTAATTGATTATTGTTGTTAAAAAAACAAGAAGGCTGTGCAACGCCGTTTGAAGTGCTGGCGATGTTGATATACGTTCGCTCTGGGAGCTTGGCATTTATTTAGTGTACACTTAGTTGTAAACAGGTTTTTTCTCAACTTGCAACAGACATAACAACTTTTGATCTAATATCTTTGATCTAATTACTTTTAATCAACATATTCCGACATTGAAAAATGTTAAAATCTCTTACAGTTAAAAAAAATAATAAAAACTTTTATTTGAATAGTCATGAAAATATTTGTATGAATGAAAGCACTCAAAGAATGATAACATCGCGAGCAGTTTCTTTTCGATGATAGTTTCAGTGACAATTGATCGCTCACAATTTATTTAAGGTTCGTCGTGAGCACAATTCATTGTGGAAACAATTCGTCATGGGTACAATTCGTCGCAAGCATAATTCATCGCAAGCACGTTTCTTGCGGTTTCATTAAAATACATCTATTTACGTTGTCTATCTAATTTGTGGTCGTTCAAAAAATACTTAAGAGGGAAGGTTTTTGTTACATAAAAGGGAAAATGTGTATAAGCAATGCCTGCGTCATTAAAATTGATTATTATGGCTAGTTCTTAGCGTTCAGCATAATAATTTCGTTGGTTTCTAGCTGTTTCATTGAACTCTATCTATTTACGTTGTCTATCTAATTTGTGGTCGTTCAAAAAATACTTAAGACGGAAGGCTTTTGTTACATAAAATGGAAAATGTGTATAAGCAATGCTTGCGTAATTAAAATTGATTGTTATAGCTATTTCTTAACGTTCAACATAATAATTTCGTAAAAAAGTAAGTTTCGTGCTTATAAAATATTTTTTTAATTAGCATTTATCTTGAATAATTAAAATAATTGTTTTAGTCGGAACACAATTGTCGCAAGAAATAAAATATTCTACCCCTTGTTTTCGAAAATATTCTAGTGAACAAATCCGGGCTGGCTCAGGGGATAGAGCACTCGTTTCCCTATGATGTTATCCTGGTTCGAATTCGAATTCCACAATTCGAATACGAATTCCACACCAACAACAGTGCTGAAATGAAATATAGTCAGATGCGGTTTAGTTCCATCAAAAATTCCTCAGCGAAAGTAAATTTCTCTGAATACTTGATCCAGGAGTTCCCTTGTCTTCTGGATCGGTTTCAAAATAACAAGGCTACGGAGATTTTTCTCTAATATTTATTTTTTAACATCTTATTTTTCCGTCATTTAATTTTAGTTTTTGCATCGGTATTTTTTTAATTCAAAAAGTGAAAAAATTACTATATTTAGTTTGCAACCACATACGAAAATAAAATACTTTTACAACAGACACTATAAGCTTTTGATCTCGCAAATTGGGATATTTTCAGATATAATACCATTAGAAGTTAGAAACAAAAAAATTTTCAGAACAAAATGAAAAACGGAATATTCTAAATATTTTTTAAAAGATCGGATTTTTTGACACTACGGCTCTATCTCAATGATTCAAGAGGCAAACTTAAAATTGAACTAATTAAACGCTGCAAGCGATCGATAAATTATGAAATCGTATGAAAACATGCAGTAAAAGCTCGATATAACGAATACGGTACAGTACGATGAATCAGCTATTTCAGAAAATTTCCTAGTCAGCGTCAAAATCCTAACATTATAGATACAGAAACTATATGTTTATGACGAGTTAAAAATTAATAGTTTTCCGCAGTTACGACAGAATTGTTGTTAGGAAAAGACAGTTTTTTATTGTTCAGGTGAGCAATATTACAGTAAAAAGATTTAAATGGAAGACATTTTTATTTATTTTTGGTATCACAACAGGAAAACGAACATCGTTTCTTTCTTACAATTTTAAACCCATTATTTAAATAAAGCAATGCGTTGCATTACTTTACCACCATCAGAAAGTTTCTTTTTCTCAACAAAAGAAAACTAATTTTTCTTTTCAATTCATGCCGTACACTTCAAAAGATTGTTGAGCATATGCTCCCTTATTTTTCTTTCTGGCCTTCCGCTTGGGGGGAGGGAATCTTTGGATCTTGGTGAAGTTGCTGCTCCCTTGACCATTATTTCGACGTATTGCCATTGGCGATCGAAATGGACTACAGGTGGCTTAGAGCAGAACTCTCTACCTATGGCAACACTTCGCATGTTTTCACCATTAGCACTTGGAGAGTCACAGCAGAAGGAATTACGTTAGTTTCTGTCTTGATTTTCAAATAGATTGAATTCTTTTAAGTTAGGAAACTATATGGAACTGAAAACTTCATTAAACATAGTTCTAAAAGAAAGCCTCATCCTAAAATAAAGCCGTTAAATCTGTCGTGTCACAAAGTCCTCCATGTTCCTATAACAAATCAACACCTCTGGGGGTACTGAATTGGAGATTGATCGTTCTCTGAGTCAGGTCTAAATTACGATCTGTTGATGTATGAATGGGTCCGCCCTATAAACGTGCGTGACGTATGGGTGTGGCAGAAATCAAATTCTTAGCCATAGATGGCGCCACTGGAAAACAAGAGCAATCGCACCTCTCTGCTTTAACAGGCATGAGCAACAACAGCAAAGCTTCATGGAAATTTCAAAAATTATTAACGGAAAAAACGGAAAATATTAAGAAAAGGAAAAATATCGTAGTACATTCCTATACAACTGAAAAGAGGAAGAGGGGAAGGGTGAAAGGCATGGAACCGATCTTCTCCTCAGACGGTGTATTCGAGAGTTGCGATCATTAAGCCTACCATTATGAGTCCTTTTTCTTGCTGAATTGCCACATACGTGCACGTACGCTGAGTTGTCACGCACGTGGATGCTCCCTGACGGGGTTGAGCTTCGATGCTCCCTTATTTTCTAAATTACAACTTACTATTGAAATTAACATTTATTGCTATCAATGACGTCAAAAGTTTATTTTATTTTCTTCTTACACAAATTTGTTATGATTCGGAAACTTTTCCAAACATTTCTGTTCTAGAAATGTCTGTCTTTTATAAAGTATAGAGCTACGTAATTCAGTCTACAACCTGTAGAGAAAAACAGTCAACTCTAGATAAGTCTTTAAATCAAAATATCTGTTCATTATAAAAGAGGTTCGTTATAAGGAGTTACACTTCCTCTAGAGAATCATATCGGATTTTTTACTCAAATTATAAGAAGTAGCCACAAAACTGCGTCCCAAATAGTGTGACTAAGATAGATTTTATTATTATTAATTTTACTTTTACAGTTTACTTGAGGCACTGGCACTTATTTAAATGAAACAAATCTTGAGGACAAATAGGTATCTAAATTTTATTTAGAAAAAGTACAAATTACATTGCTATACTAGTCTGTATTATTATATATAAAGCCCATATAACTTCTGAACTATTAGTCCGATCTTCCTGTAATTGGTTTAATTCAATTCAACATAAAAAATCCTGTTGCTGTTTGGAAGAAATTCAATTCTCCCCCTCAAATCCCTCCCACATCTCTCAAATAAGGAAGAAGAGAGTTCGGCAGTTTTCAAATATCATTCATATAATTTTAAATTTAAAAAAAAAAATTTTGCTGTTAATTATTTTCACAAAAAAAAACTTTTCATGACTATAATTATTAAACTAAGATGTATTTCATTAAAACAGCAATAAATTGGGTTCATGACGAACTGTCGTAATGACAAGTCGTACTTGCGACGAATTGTCGCTACGACGAGTTGTTCCTGCTATGAGTTGAGTCCACGAAGAATTGAGCTCACGATGAATTGTGCACAAGACGGATTGTCCCAGGACAAACTGTGCATGACTACTTGTCACTGAGACGAATTGTGCTCGAGAAATTAACGCAGAATTTTAAACCTGTGAAATGTCGAGTTTTCATTCACCGAAAGTTTATACATGGTTGAGTAATGACTCGTAACTCGGGAGTTTTTCATTCCCTTTCACCGATAATATGGGACTTATTGGTTTGCCATAATATATTTCAATTATTTGGAGAATATTCACTTTCAGAAAAATTGGTTCGTTATTGAAGCATAATATTAATACCTTTAACCTTAATTCGGTGAAAATTTGCTATATCCTTGATGTGGTGTTAAATTGAATGATATTTCAGTAAAACTATAGTATCGTGTAATTAAGTTTAAGAAATACAATAATATGATTAAACTATGCACCATATAAAGGTGGCATTATACAAAATCTGTTAATTATTGTCTTCTAAAACGCTTAAAGTATCGCTAACATAATATAACGCTTACTTTAATCATTAATTTAGCCCCTTCTCTGTCGACGTCGCATGCCTGGCAACGTAGAGAAAAATTGCATAATTGAAATTGAATTCGTCGCTACTTACACGTCTCTTTAAATACCATGATAATTTTTGTATTTTTGAATATTGCTGAGAAAGATGGCGCAAACTAGTCTCACTTTCTTCGCAATTGAATTCCCGCCTTGAATTGAAATCAAAATCACTTGGTACTTTCTGTAGTTTTGCTTTCATTAGTTTTTTGATTAATGCAATTTTTACGCTCTGATGCCGAAAACTGAAAGCTAATTTAACGCTTCGATTGGAAAATTATTTCCAAAATATATTTTACCCAGTTTTAATAATTATTTTATGTAGATATTTATATTATTAACACCATAAATCAATAGAGTTAATAAATAAGTTATCACAGTGTATTTTTTTAAGATAAAACTTGGATG